TTTAGCGTTAGGTTTAGCGTTAGGTTTAGCGTTAGGTTAAGGGTTAGGTGTAGGGTTAGGTTTTGGGGGGTTAGGTTTAGGTTTTAGGGGTTAATTTTAGCTTTAGTGCAAAGCTTCTCCCATGGCCAATTCCTTCTCTCTGGGACCGAGAATCCAAGTCAGCTGCTGGTTTTCAAAGATCTCCCTAGCTTGCTCATGGGCCAATCTCCAGCCCGGTGAAATATCGTACACAGGGAGTTCCTTCCCCAAGTGACATATTTCTGGTGTGTCTCCAGCTCACTCTCCAACATGTGCCCCCGTCTTCTTGCTGCCAGGAGAAGCTGCAAATGGGGAAGCAGCCACGAGACAGCCAAGACCGAGTACCTCCAGCTTGAATGCATGACATTCGTGGGGGTCTAAATTGTCCGAGTGCCAGGCATTCTTCTGGCTCTTATGGGTCTGGGCTGCCCGCGGAAACCTGGCTCGCAACAGCCGAGCCGAAGAGGAAGCCGTTTGCAGAGTTTGTGTGAGGGCCACCATCTTTGGAAGGAGCAGAGAGCTGTGGGAGAGTGCCGGAGCAACTGAAATTCGATTCCCTAGCATCTCTAAGTAGGATAAGCCTCAGTGAAACCCAGAGGGAAAGCTGCAATAGGCAACTTTTTAAGACCAGAGTGTATCTAACGGGTTTGATCAGCAGGGCAGCTGATCCTTCTAAACCAAAAATGGCTTCCATTTTGAGGCAAATTAGATAACACCGCCCTCATAGCAGTCTTTTTTTTCAGAATCAGCCCAGAGCTGGAAGGGATCTTGGAGGTCTTCTAGTCCAAATCCCTGCTCAAGCAGGAGATCCTACACTACTTCATTGGCTGTCCAGTCTTTGCTTAAAAACCTTCAGCGATGAAGTCTACAATTTCTGGAGGCAAGCCATTCCACGGGTTAATTGTCTTCACTCTTAGGACGTTTCTCCTTAATTTCAGGCTGCTTCTCTCCTTGGTTAGTTTCCATCCGTTGCTTCTCGTCCTGCCTTCAAGTACTTTGGAAAATAAATTGACCCCCTCTTCTTTGTGGCAGCCCCTCAAATACTGGAATACTGCTATCGTGTCACTTCTAGTCCTTCCTTTCTCTGGACTGGCAGGATTCCCAAATCCTGCAACCCGTTCTTCGTACGTTTTAGTCTCCAGGCCTTTAATCAGCTGTCTTCAGAGTCAGACATCAGTGAGGCAGAGGAACAGCTGGAGCCTGTTCCCAGTGTGCCCATGCGCAGACTTGCCAGACGAAGGGAACAGCTAAGGGGTTCCACCACAAAACCGCGGAGGACAAAATCGCGCTCGACGAAAGCGCGCATTTGACGTCATCACAGCGCGACGAAAACATCGCGCTGTGATAGAAAAATGTAAAAATAAAGCGAAAATCTTACCCTACCCCCCCCAATCCTAACACTAATCCCA